TGTTTCAGTATTTAAAAGAAAGCCTTCCCAGATAAGTGGAAGCTGTTAGGCCAACTCTCTAATGCCAGTGCGGTTTTGAATTTTTTAAACATTTTTGGCGTTTTGCCTTTATTTTAATAGGACAGTTAGTTGACAGGAAGCATAGTGCGAGAGAGCCGGGACTCGAACTCGGGAACTGGGGGGAACAGATATTTGAAATTCTAATAATGTCTAAAAAACCATAAGAGACTTCTTTCAGCAACATAAAAACTTGTACTGACTCCAAACCTTTGAACAGTAGTGTATATATTATAAAATTCTTTGTCTCTGTGTTCTTTGAACATGCCTCAGACCGTGTTCTTCCCTTATACAAGATTTTCTTCAGTGCTTTGTGACCTTGAGGGTTGGTTTCAACCAGTCTGGTAAAATATTAAGAATGCTCATTGTTAACACCTGTTGAGCAGTGAAAAGTTCCTTTGTTTAGAGATGGAATTCTCAAGAGATTTGGAAAAAAGACAAGGGGAGAATGAAATAAGCTGTTTTGCCACTTGTACTACAGAAGCCTTGAACCTAGGTGATTTTTAAAATTTTTTTTTTACTGAAGTACCTTCATGAGTCCCTTTCCTCCATTATTTATTTCTGCACAAAATAAGAAACCAATTCCTTTATCTTCATATTCATTTATTGTCCTTGCAAATGAAAAAAGATAAAGAAGAAAATATAAAACAAAATAACAAAAACAAACAAACATCCGTAAAGTACTATATGTAAATAAATGCAGGGGGAAAAAGCAGTTGTGAGGGTAATTTATACAGTATATATACATGTGTTTCAGGGCTTACCATTCAAGGTAATTCTTAGGTTATCAATCTGAATATTAAATATTAATCAGAGGTTTGAAAAACAGTTGTTGTCAATGTTTTAAGTATCTCTGTTTTTGGATTTTATCCCAAGCTACAACAGGAACAGACATGTCAAGAGATATGAACAATTATAAAATTTATGACACATTCAAAAACCCGAACGTACAAATTTTTGACAACAGAGATCCTTAACCAACATCCTATTTTTGAGTATAAAACCTGAGGCCTCAAAACCAAATAATTCCACAAATGATCTCTCTCTCTCTCTCTCTCTCTCACACACACACACACACTTTACTGGCAAAACAACAGAACCTGTTAATGGACAACACAGGTAGATAGTGACCCGACCTGCTGTAACCCAAACACCTACTGACAGCTTAAATCTCAGATAACACGCATTAACCCAGCAGTGAGGTAACTGGCACAGACATGCTGGTGAGCTTCTTGCATTCAAGTCTAAATTACATGCCGAGTAGTGACCCAGTTTAGGTTTAAACTTGCTACCTAACACCAGACTCCTGCTGAGAAATCTCTTCTCTGTTTATAATCCTTACTTGGGCCCTACCTGGGCTTCAGCTCCACGCTGTGTTTGTTCTGGATGAAGTTACCGTTCACATGCTTTATTTCTCATTTATATCATATAGATATATACAAAATTTGTAATTAAATGATGTACTTTATGCATATATCCTATGCCTAGTATGGTGATAGAAAAAGGATATTTTAAAAAATGTATTAGTGTTTTTTTGGTGCTTACAATGAAAACAATATTGGACTCCTTTCAGTTTCATTGTATGGTCAGTTCTTCAAAATATCATGGATATGCATAAACATCTCATTTTTTGAATTCAGGGGATACAAACTATAGGCCTACTTTTATTTACTGCATGTATTTTTATACCATATAAAGTGCAAGGAGAATATAAAGAGGAAACGTAATGCATAAAACACAGACTTACCCACAATAATACTACATGCACTGAGGAGACCGATCTCTTTCTTCAAGGTCACTGCTGGTTCTCCGTCGTCGGTGTCTGTGTCTGGCACTGATGCAGCCCTGCGTCGGGCGCCACTGCTGCTCATTTTCACACAGACAGCAGCAACTCTGTGCTTAATGTTGATGTTGAGAGTCTCCGTAACTTTATCCTCCCACCCCAAACTTAATGTGATAATCTGATAAACCCGCCCACAGTGTTCTGGTTTGGTCTAGTTTAATAGATGAATGCAACAGAGGCAATATTATGCAACTACAAAGAGATTTTGTATTTAGTAAATGTATTTAGCAATGGAATCACAATAGTCTTGCAGCACCAAATCTCAATTTAAGGTCAAAATAAATAAATAAATCTGGGTCATAATCAGGCAAATAAAATTATGCCATTTGAATGTTTGTCCTCTTAACCCACACTTACTGATATTAAAATCAAGACATTAAAAAATCAAAACCTGTTAGGGTGAGGAAAACTTTTTACTTTTTCTGTAAAAACAAAACAAAACAAAAAAACAACAGCAAAATATTATACAAAAATAATTTAGAAAAATATATTTTATGAATGATGAAATAATGAATTTTTGTTCATAATATGGAACCCCATTTCCGCCACCTAAAAACACTTGCATTGATAACTAATTATAATAAAATCATTATTGTTCATAAAAGTCATTATGACATAAGTCAAAATTATGATGTGAAAATTTGACATGCCAAAATTATGACAAAAAGAGATGTCAAAATTGAGATTCTGAGTCATAAGGCAAAACGTGTCATAAAATGTATATTATGACAATTTTTACTTTTTGCCATACTTGACTTTATCTCATAAATATGATTATTTATTTATTAAAATTATTTATTAAAATTATTTTTTCTCAATTTCAACTTTTTTATCAGCTATGTTTGCATCCAAAGATTCGATTTTAACTTGTCGGCAAAACTGGAATATTGCATAAAACATTTGCGAATAATGCACAGTTTACATCCAACGAGTCAAAGAGAACAAAATCATAATTTCCTGACAAACTGGCACTAAATATCACTATAAATATCACTAAAAAAATAGGAGAAGCCACTTCAGAGCAAGCAGACGAAAAGCAATAAATGCTGTCATTGCTTTCGAAGATGGATGCCTGCTGTTTGGGAACGCAGTCGTTTAAGACAATTATACAGAAATACTTTGATGACAGACTTTGCTCAGGCATTTCAGAACAACCAAAACAGCATTTCAGATGCTGTGCAAAGAGATCGCTCCACTGGTTAGTCAAGTTATCCCATCCCATCATGCAAAGTCACATGACTTTGTTTGATGCGCATGGTGGAATTTATTTGGTAAATGTGTTTCCATCGTATTTTATTCACGTTTTTTTCTTATCGCATAAAAAAAGTGTATCCTACTTTAATTGTGTGCATAAGTGTTTTATGCACATTCTTAGAATTTATGTGCATCTTGGCATTTCTATCCAGAGTTTTTTTTATGCGATATTCCAAAATGCGCGTAAAAATAGGGGGATGGAAACATAGCTATTGACACTTCTCAATTTTAACTTTTTGTCATAATTATGACTTTCTATGTCAATGACTTGGTACGTCATAATTATGGCTTTACCAATGCATGCTTTTTTTCTCATGTGGCAGAAATGGGCCACCATATAGGCTAAAAGTTTTTTTATATAATACTTGGAAGGCTGTAATAAATTATGATCTAAACATTGATTTGCAAATATAGACGGACAGACATATACATGCATAATGGGGCTGTAACAATTTTTTTCAGCACTTCAAAGGGCCAGAATTGGGTTTGCTAGGGGCCACATGACAAAAATGAGCTCTCTGGCCAAAGAACAAAGTTTCAGCTCAGCCGGTCATGCAAATCAATAAGCTTTTCCCTAAAGCTAAATTTTATTTTTTGTACAGTGCTTTTCACAATGCATACTATTCCAAAGCTGATTTACACACAATGTCTTACATGCACCCCGGTGAGCTGCCAAAGGCATCAGTGCCAGTGAAGAAACTCCCTAAGATGTTCTAAGTAGCTCTAAGTAGAAGAAACCAAAACTCAGCTGAGGAAGCCCACCTCCTCAGACTAGCACATTTTTAACAATAACTTAAACAATGATGCAATGACTTGTACAATTTAACTCCAAAGAAATTAGTGTTAAAGAATAACTGAATAAAATGAAGAGTCACAGACGCAAATTACATTCATAATTCAATTAGACAAAGCAAGTGCCTTCTCTAGATGACTTGTACAATTTAACTCCAAAGAAATTAGTGTTAAAGAATAACTGAATAAAATGAAGAGAAGTCACAGACGCAAATTACATTCATAATTCAATTAGACAAAGCAAGTGCCTTCTCTAGTGTCTTCCAAAGTTGCTCACCAAGAAGACAAGGATCACAATCAATGGTGCTTGAATGGATATTTGTGAATATTCCCTGCATGATGCTAACAAATTTTAGATAGGTTTAGATGTCTTGGCAAACACGTTAACGCTGCGCTCTGTTAATGAGTGTTCATGAGTAAACAAAGAAAACAAAATCAGCGCTGATGGTTTCCCTGCCTATAATTGTTTAGCTACAAATTACTTCTCTCTTAAATACATTCAATAGCTAATGTGACTGTTCTTTGCCTAAAACAATTTGATGTTTATGTAAATGTTATGTAATTTATTCAGCATTAAAATATTCATGTAAACACTGTGGCTCTGTTTGAGCATCCTGACCAGCCCCTAACTGTATTTATGTCCATGGCAGAAGTTCACACCAAATGGTATTACAAGAAAGTGCGTGCATTGAGTGATGGATAACAGTCATATACAGAGATAAAAAAGTCAAATATAAAGATAAGCTGACAGCTATAACGAAGCACACTAGCACTCAATGAGAAGGGATTCCCAGAATGCAATGGGATAGGCTAAGTGAAAAATGCACAAGTAAATTTTTGTTGTATGTATACTTAAAAAAAAAAAAAAAACATCAGGTGGAGGGGCTATTTTTACTTCTTTTAAAACATTTTAAACTCCATTAAACTTTTTACATAAGTAAATGTGATGCTTTAAAGGAAAAGTGTGTAATTTGTTTTCAGTTGTGTTAATTTGATTTCAAGTGTAATAATTTATGTAAATCAGCAGTCCTTTTGTGTTCCCCTGTCTTTCTCAGGCTGGAGAACTGGAAATTTGAGGAGTGGGGTGATCAGGTGACTGTTGTATCATGTGACATGAGGGAATGGACTGCTCCAGAGAAAGCAGATATCATTGTGAGCGAGCTTTTAGGCTCATTCGGAGACAATGAGCTTTCACCCGAGTGCCTGGATGGAGCGCAGCACTTCCTCAAAGGTTTGATATGAAATCATCATTGTCTTTTAAAATTCTATGATTTTTGATTTGCCCTGTTTTACATCTTTTGATCCACTCATGGATGTTTGTTTTCTCTTAGATGATGGCATAAGCATTCCCTGCTCTTACACGTCTTTCCTGGCTCCGCTGTCCTCCTCTAAACTATATAATGAAGTGCGTGGGTGTCGGGAGCGAGACAAAGACCCCGAGTGCCATTTTGAGACACCATATGTTGTCAGACTACACAACTTCCACCAACTTGCAGACCCCAAACCCTGCTTCACCTTCGTACATCCCACCACAGGTACAGGATCATGCAGAGACAGACAAACAGATGCAATAAGACCATATGTAGTCCAAAAATCGTTCCTTTAATTTTTTTTGTAACTCTTTCTATGAAGCCATTAACTCTTGATCTTTACCCTGTGCAGATATGAATAATAACCGGTATCAATGTCTACGGTTCTTCATTGGATGTAATTCAGTGCTTCACGGCTTTGCTGGATATTTTGAGGCCACACTCTACAAAGATGTCACGCTCAGTAAGTCTTTTTGTAGTAGCAGCGTAGTGGCACACAATGTCAGTTTAAAGGCTGTTTCACAATGTAAGGCTTGCATTGTTCATGAATTTCTGGGTTACCACATTGAGTGTATTCTGTAATAATGATCACAAATTGGCATGGGTATCAGGAGAGGGCAATTAAAAATCATTTATATAATAAGGAAAACGATTTCATTTCTATCCAAATAGAATCAAATGCATCAAACTGTAGATACAGAGTGTTATTGCGTAAAATTTACTGGACAAAAGTGCAGTTTGTGTCTGTTGCTTTAGTGACAAAAAAATATCACACACTGTGTGATAAAAAGATAAAAAGTCTAAATCATGAGATATAAAAACACAAAAATTAACAAAACGTAGTCATAGAAAGTAGAATTTGTCGATTTCACTTTTTATGTCATAATTGTCTTTTTATACCATAATTTTGACTTGGGTCAATTATGATTTTGATTATCTCATAATTAAGATTTAGTATGAAATAATAATAATTTACAATAATTCACTATAATGTTATCACGATATCTATAAAAAACCTAATTCAAATGATTCTTTAACTTTATTTTGTTTTCTCTTTTTTGGCCAGTGAATCACACGTAAGTGTACAATAGGACAAAAAAAGAAATGTTTCATGTTAATAAGCACTTCCTGGAGACAAAATGAGTGTTAAGGTGCAATACTGCCACCTATTATGAAGTGTCAACTAGAAATAATTATGACAAAAAGTAAAAAATTATGAGAAAGGACATCGAAACGTCAACTGTCATAAAAAGCCAATTTTCACTTTTCATGCCATAATTCTGACTGTTTAACATCTAATTTAGATGTTAGTATGTCATGATCATGATCTACAATAATTCAAATTGAAAAAAATTAAATTGTGCAAAAAAATCTAATTCAAATTGTTCTTTTTTTGGCTCTTTTGGCCACTGGATTATTTATGCGTAATAATAATACAATATCAATGCTTTTTTTTTTTAAATGTCATGGTCATCATTACCTGTATATTGCGACATAGATTTATGAAATGGAGTGAGTTTGTCTTGGGACATTTTATAAAATTTATCAGAGAGGAAGATCACATAATTTTGTACCTTTTTTATTCGTTATGTGACAATACATTTTTTTTAATCAGGAAAAAAAAAACTGTATAAAAGTATGGGATATGTTTTCTAACATGGCCTGACTGGGGACATCATACTATGATTATTCTCACAACGGGGCTTTGCAGGGCACTGGTGGACAATTGGGAAATAACGCTGATGTATTATGTAGAGTGATAAAATAGACTGTTGGGACTCACTTAATCAGTTCTAGAAACAATAGTATTCAAAAAATAACAGCTTTTGTGTTATTAATATATTTTTGAAATATCAGAAGAGTTTGAACTAAGAAAGAGCACCAGGACATCGCACATTGCTTTAAAGGATACCTCGTAAAGGATACCTCGTAAGTGCTGTTTTAATTTCCATCCTCATGAACATTACAGAAATGGCAAAAGATACATAGCTGTCATGGTGAACAATCTCCTTGAGTGTAATTGGACCCTTGAAACAAGATATTTAAACCTGCCGCTTGATTGAAAAACAGATTGTTTATTAAAAAACAACAACAAGACAAAACAAAAGTCAGTGTAACCACATGTCTCAGCAGATGTCAGCTTGCTACAGGCCGATGGTGTAAGAGCGCCCAGAAGGGTTGTGAATAGCGGAGCATATAGGCTCAGTCACAGCCCATTCATACCAGACCTTCTTTCCATTGTTACACCTCCAGAACCTCACGCTCACATTATTGCCACAGGACAGCGGGATCGGCTGCTGCATGGGGAGAGAGAGAGAGAGAGAGAGGGGAAAAAAGGTGTTAGGATTACACTCCCAACGTGGCTGTACACTTCAGCGCATTAACTGTGGAGTCGATAAACTGCCACGCTCTGACAGTGCTTAGCTGGCTCCTTTCAAACTGAAAGTGCTAACTGTATTTATGTCCATGGCAGACGTTCACACCAAATGGTATTACAAGAAAGTGTGTGCATTGAGTGATGGATAACAGTCATATACTGAGATAAAACACAGTAACATTAATAATACAGTTTCAGTGGAACCACTGTTTGATAAAAGTCAAATATAAAGATAAGCTGACAGCTATAATGAAGCACACTAGCACTCAATGAGAAGGGATTCCCAGAATGCAATGGGATGGGCTAAGTGAAAAATGCACAAGTAAATTTTTGTGGTATGTATACTTCAATAAAAAAAAAAAAACATCAGGTGGAGGAGCTACTATTATAAACAATAAAAGTTTTTTTTTTAAATATAAATATCGTAAGGTCATCAGAGCTACATTTATTTGATCAAAAATACAGAACAACAACAGTAAAATGGTTAAAACAATTTTAACAATTTAAAACAACAGTTTTCCATTTATATATGAATTTAAATGGTTTAAATTGTAATTTATTTCAGTCATGGAAAACCTGAATTTTCAATAGCCATTTCTCTAGTCTTCAGTGTCAGTCTTCAGATATCATTCTAATATGTTGATTTGCTGCTCAAGAAACATTGCTAATTATTATCAGTGTTGAAAAGCAGCTGTTCTGCTTAAAGGGGTCATATGATGCTGCTAAAAATAACATTATTTTGTGTATTCGGTGTAATGAAATGTGTTTATGCGGTTTAAAGTTAAAAAAACACATTATTTTCCACATACTGTACATTATTGTTTCTCCTCTATGCCCCGCCTTTTTGAAACGCGTCGATTTTTACAAAACTCATCGGTCTGAAAAAGCGAGGTGTGCTGTGATTGGCCAGCTATTCAGTGCGTTGTGATTGGCCGAATACCTCAAGCATGAGACGGAAATGTTACGCCCCTCACCATACTGTCGATGCCGTGTCCCGGCCGGAGCGGCGAGACAAAAACATTAAAACCCATTACAAAAGAGGCATTTGTTGCATCCAGTGGGGACATAACTACTGATTATAATGACTTATACTGTCTTTTTACACGTTGCGTTGCATTGCGCCGCGTAAACATAAAACCCTGTCTGCATTTGTGATCAGAGAAATGACAAACAACAAGTGCTAACGTTAATCCACACTGCCCAAAACTCGCGTTTGAATCATCAGTGGCAAATCCTTTAAATGAAAACGTACTTACGTGAGTCAGAACTGCCAGCATTTTAGTCTAACGTAACTCTCCCAGGATCAGTAAACAGTCCTCCATAAAATGTGCCGGCGATCCACAGCACTAAGTTGAAGTATTCCCTCAGCGACCAGCACAGATCAGCTCTAGGCATAACGAAGCGGATATCGTCCTCTTTTGGAAGACCAAACAAAGTAGTTTCGCTTTCACAACGAAAAACACAGCGGCCTACCGTGTGCGAAAGCCCCGGCTTAGCCTGAGCTGAAGCCGGGCAAGAGTGAGCTGAGGCGGCGGGGTCGAGAACGGCGGTCCCGGCAAAGGAGCGGTGAAAACGGTGAAAGCCAATCCGGCGATCCACAGCACTAAGTTGAAGTATTCCCTCAGCGACCAGCACAGATCAGCTCTAGGCATGACGAAGCGGATATCGTCCTCTTTTGGAAGACCAAACAAAGTAGTTTCGCTTTCACAACGAAAAACACAGCGGCCTAGCATGAGCGAAAGCCCCGGCTTAGCCTGAGCTGAAGCCGGGCAAGAGTGAGCTGAGGCGGCGGGGTCGAGAACGGCGGTCCCGGCAAAGGAGCGGTGAAAACGGTGAAAGCCAATCCGGCGATCCACAGCACTAAGTTGATGTATTCCCTCAGCGACCAGCACAGATCAGCTCTAGGCATGACGAAGCGGATATCGTCCTCTTTTGGAAGACCAAACAAAGTAGCTTCGCTTTCACAACGAAGCACACAGCGTCTTCAGGACATGGCGGCAGCGGCAACAATACTACAGCGAGAATAAAAGTTACGCCTTCTTTCTTTGCGTGAACATTTGGGCGGCGTTATGCAAATCTTCCCACATAGTGAGGTAGATATGTGGGGGCGTGTTAGAACGAGCCGTTTTAGGTAGGTGTGGCTAACTCTTAACTTTTATAAAGAATATCTCTTTGGATTTGAGACTTTAGTCTTTGCAACTTTACAGATCTTCTTTATGCACCAAGAGCTTGTAACACTCCAAAGAGAAAGGAAAAAATGAAATCGCATCACATGACCCCTTTAAA